ATATATATATATTATGTAAAGTAAAGGCTCACACCATTGTACAAGCAGGCAAGTTCCAAGTTTCTGGGTCTTCTTAGAACTTCTTGTCAATTCCTGACAAGGACAGATTACCCAATAAGCAAGGTAAGAATGAGTTTACTTGTGCTAATTTACTAATCTTTAGTGAATAATTCCACGTCTGATTAGGAAATAAACACAAGTAATCCTATGCTTCATAAACCCATGTGAAATTGTTCACCATAGATTAGTAAGTAAGCACAAGTCAGCCCATGCTTACCTTGTTTATTGGATAAAGTACTTTTGCTATAACTCATAGGTCTCCATGAATCAGAATCAATTCAGTGGGTTCAATTTTATTTTGTTTCATTTCATTTTGCTTTGCTTTTGCTTCAAGAGCCAGTGTTTGTATTAGTAAAGGGACATGTCTGCTAGCAGTATTGCTAACTCTGCTATCTTGTTATTCCAGGAAGGTCAACGCAGTAGCCCAAAAGCAGCTTGGCCGCTTGTGGCACACAAGTGCTATCTTCTATCATCCCCCGATACATGAATACACAGAGAAGCTCTCTGCACTTCTTCCTGAGCCTCTTAAGGTATGCTACCCCCAGCTCAAAGGAATAGTAGTCTCATGATCTCAGGTGTCAAGGGAATACAATCAGGGAATTTGGTCTAAACAATGGATTACTGGACCAGTATCCATATCTGAAAGCAATCAAGTGAAAGAAAAGAATGTGTGGACAACATTTTTTAGACCGATGTTAACATGCATCATCTCTGAGCCTCTGCTTCCCCTAGGCTACTCTCACTTTCTTTGCACTTTCCAGAAAATTCAGCCTTCTTGAGTCTCTGATATACATTCCCCAAGAGTTTTCCATTTCTGCCCTACAGCACTTATGAAAAGGCATTGCATTTGTCTTTTACAAAGGATGGGGCCATTTTATTTAAAATTAATAACTCGTCCAGTTCCTTTGGTCTGATGAACATAGATATTTTCATAGAATGAGATATTTTTGTGCCTCTGAAAGGACTGTGTTGAGCCTGGATTGAGATGTTAAAACCTTGAAAGGAAGTGGTGTTAACGAACCCAGGGACAAGGGAACAACAAGTGACCAAATTGGTGGTGAGGTGGTTGTGGGAGGACTGGTAGAGCATGATCAAGGGTAATGTAACCAAGAGGAATTGCTGAAACTCTGGTGGGGACTGAACATGATAGTGGGGCAGGAGGAAAGTCAAGGGAAATAGAGGAAAGAGTTGGGAGGCAAAGGGCATTTATAGAGGTCTAGATAAAGACATGTACATATGCAAATATATTTATATATGAGGATGGGGAAATAGATCTATGTGC